CAAGCTTGGCAGTTAGCGCAGACAAATGACCGATCTCCAGTCGTGTGGTGGTCCCTTCCCAGCGGGCTCACCTCGCTTGTCTCCGAATTTCATTTCAGTGAACAATGTGCTATTGTGTGCCACAGCATTATCACTCTAAGTATGGTCATTGGCTAGAATAAACAGATGCTATCAAGCTGTGTATTGTATATAGCGTGTGTGTGTGTGTGTGTGTGTGTGGGAGCATGTGTGCACATATCAGGAAATTGAAAGTCATTTTGCAGGCGCTAATGACAGCGGCGAGCAGCAATACAAACATTTTAAGCAGGCGATTCAATGGCTGGATGGTGAAAAACACACAGTTCACTACATGAATACAGAATGTATTTGAAAGACTTTTCTTCCATCCTCCTTGCTGCATACAAATTGTGTCAGCGAAAGTTTTTCTGTTCACTTTGACTTTTTAGAGACCTCAAAGTGGATGTAATGTGGAAAAGTGCCCTTTTAATAGCAGAAAGAGTTGTACAAATAGTTGGGCCGCTGGAGTGCGTGAATGCATCCATCTATCCATTTTCTAATCCGCGTATCCTCACAAGGGTCGTGGGCATGCTGAAGTCTATCCCAGCTGTCTTGTGGCAATTGGCAGGGTACACACTGAACTGGTTGCCAGCCAATGGCAGGGCAGGAATCAACGAACAACCATTCATGGTCACAATCACATTTAGGACAATTTAGAATGTTCCATTAACCTGCCAGGCATGTTTTTGCAATGTGGGAGGAAACTGGAGTACCCGGAGAAAACCCACACAGGCACGGGGCGAACATGCAAACTCGACACAGGAAGGCCGGAGCCAGAATCGAACCCTGCACCTCTGCACTGTGAGGTGGACGTGCTAACCACTCGGCGTGTCTACCCATCAAGTGTAAATTAGGCGACCTTTTGTTTTCTGCGCATTTCTGAAAATGTGTGTGTGAGAGAGTCCTTCTGAACTTTTCCACATTGGGGCAACACAATTCAGCTAAGCTAATTTGAATCGCAAAGCCAAAATGTAACCAAAGAAAAAAAAACTGTGTTAGCACATTGCAGATTAGCATGCTAACAGCAAGCGCTTCTGTTTACCAACATACTGACATGTCTGGTTAAGTTACCGACTTGGGTCCATTGCCTGGGCTATTTGATCATTATTGTTCCATCAAGGTAAATCAGATCAAAATATTAGGAACACCTCAATTCATCACAGTCCAGTGATGCACATCATAATCAACATCCATCCATTCCTTCCCGGTTTCGAAAGCAAGTGAGCTAAAGCCTGTGCCAGCTGACTTTAGGTTTAGATGGCGTACACCCTGGAGTGGTTGTCAGTCGATTACAACAAATTTAGATGAATAAGCATTCTTAAGGTACCAACTTGGGTCCATTGCCTGGGATATTTGATCATTATTGTTCCATCAAGGTAAATGAGATCAAAATATTAGGAACACCTCAATTCATCACAGTCCAGTGAAGCACATCATAATCAACGTCCATCCATTCCTTCCCGGTTTGTAAAGCAAGTGAGCTAAAACCTGTGCCAGCTGACTTTAGGTTTAGATGGTGTACACCCTGGAGTGGTTCTCAGTCGATTACAACAAATTTAGATGAATAAGCATTTGCATTCACCGTCCCACCTGGACCACTGAGTCTTCAAGGAACCCGTGTTACTCACTGTCTCAGGTGTTGCCAGTTAGAATGTAGGATGCAGGATGAAGAACTACATAATCAATACCCATGTAATTTTGCAGAGGGATGAGCCACTGGCCAACAAATTGAATTTGAGACATTTTGATGGAACTGAGGAGGAAATATAATAAAAAGGTTGTAAAATAGTGATTACCAATCTCTTCATTACATTTCAAGAACATTATTAAAGAATAACAAAATGGTATAAAAGAACCTTTGATTGAAATGCCTCTTGGTGGTTTTCGGCTCGACTTTCTAGGTACAGGCTACAAGGGAATGGGCATAAACTTGAGGCTCCCACAACGAGTCTAGTTTTGAAAAAAAGTGCACATATGTATCATGATAGGGAAAAGGACTTAACTCAGGGGAATCGTTCTGCAGCAGACGCAGCGGCAATAGCTTATAACACTCCAAATATCTTTTTTTGTGTGTCCTCTGACCTTTGATTGAAATGCCTCTTGGTGGTTTTCAGCTCGACTTTCTAGGCACAGGCTACAAGGGAATGCACATAAACTTGAGGCTCCCACAACGAGTCTAGTTTTGAAAAAAAGTGTACATATGTATCATGATAGGGAAAAGGACTTACTCAGGGGAATCGTTCCGCAGCAGAGGCAGCGGCAATAGCTTGTAACACTCCAAATATCTTTTTTTGTGTGTCCTCTGAAACGGACAGGGGCTTTGAGCTCCAATTCCTTATTATTTTATTATGCTGTAGATTTGACTAAACCTGAATATGCCAAGTTTGAAACCTCAGGAGCCCAATAATGTGGTAATGGTGTCACAGATGACTAATCGCTTTGTTTTTAAACCTCCAGCAGAGGGCAAACTAACACAATGCATGAGTGCATCTGAGCAATCTGTCAATAGGCAGGTGTGTCATCAATGGTCCAAGACATTCTCTCCACAGTGGCACATCCAACGTGAATGGGACATACTTTACCATAACATAAGGGAAAGTGCAAAATATCAACATTAAGAGAGAGATTTTATTGAAAATTGATTTTTTGTAGCACTTTTAGGCTACAAAAATGTTTTAAGTTGTTCAAAAAAACCCTAAAACAAACAAATAAATAAACAAAGCATAATTCACACATTTTCCTGTGATTTTGCTAGCAACAAGTGTGGGGTAAAGCCCACCTTTTGCCCGACGTCGGCTGGGATTGTTGCCAGCACATACCACGGAGGATAAAAACGACGGTATAGAAAATGACAGATATTCTTTTTTCAAACGTGTGTATAAACTCAGGGAAACTGTGAGGCATGAACTCGCAGCAATTTGTGGGCAAACGTGCCCTCGGGAGGAAGACGGGCTTGTGATGATTTAACTTCCTCGGCTTCAACAAAGAGAAGAGTTTCATGTGCTGACACATTTTCTTTTCTCCTTTTACTGAACCCAACAATTGACATGTCTGTCTAAGTTGGATTTCTCAAGCAAGTTTCTAGGAAGCGGCAATGTGGGAGTGCTATTGCTCGGCCGTGATGGCATGAAAGAAAAGAATATAGCTTGTGTTTTTCCACTGAGGGCAAGAAATCTGTTCAGTTTATCTCGGCATTACACCATCTAGCAGATGCACCCTTGATCAATAATGACAAAGCTCAAAATGACAGATTTCCATCAATGGTCCAAGACATTCTCTCCACAGTGGCACATCCAACGTGAATGGGACATACTTTACCATAACATAACGGAAAGTGTAAAATATCAACATTAAGAGAGAGAGATTTTATTGAAATTTGACTTTTTGTAGCCTAAAAGTGTTATGCCACTTTTAGGCTACAAAAAGTGTTTTAAGTTGTTAAAAAAACCCTAAAACAAACAAACAAATAAATAAATGAAGCATAATTCACACATTTCCCTGTGATTTGGCTAGCAACAAGTGTGGGGTAAAGCCCATCTTTTGCCCGACGTCGGCTGGGATTGTTGCCAGCACATACCACGGAGGATAAAAACGACGGTATAGAAAATGACAGATATTCTTTTTTCAAACGTGTGTATAAACTCAGGGAAACTGTGAGGCATGAACTCGCAGCAATTTGTGGGCAAACGTGCCCTCGGGAGGAAGACGGGCTTGTGATGATTTAACTTCCTCGGCTTCAACAAAGAGAAGAGTTTCATGTGCTGACACATTTTCTTTTCTCCTTTTACTGAACCCAACAATTGACATGTCTGTCTAAGTTGGATTTCTCAAGCAAGTTTCTAGGAAGCGGCAATGTGGGAGTGCTATTGCTCGGCCGTGATGGCATGAAAGAAAAGAATATAGCTTGTGTTTTTCCACTGAGGGCAAGAAATCTGTTCAGTTTATCTCGGCATTACACCATCTAGCAGATGCACCCTTGATCAATAATGACAAAGCTCTAAATGACAGATTTCTAGCCCATTGCCAAAAAGTGTTCCAGTGTGATGTTAACAACGGCAATACATTTTGAATATTTTTTTTTCTTTAATTGGCATTTGACCTCACCCAGTTTTCCATTTTCAACATGGATATGCAGGTGAGCTACAGGTGAGAAGCAATGTACATCCTGGACCGGCAACATAGAAAAACAACCATTTACACCTGGACAATTTCAACTCAATTGTGGATCACATCATGCTTTCCCTTCAGAGGGCTGACACAGCTGTGAAAATCATCTAAATATATAATCACCTCATGTTATGTAAACACATTTTCCCTTTGCTGATGTATTAATATGCGGTCATCCGTCCATACATTATTGCACTATCCTCATTATAGTCTTGTGTGAGCTGTTGCCTATTCCAGCAGACTTTTGGACACAAGCGGTGTACACCCTGGACTGGTTGCCAGCCAATTGCAGGGCATAGTATATATACAAACAAGTTTTCACACCAGAGGTCAATAAATTGAAGAGGTATGTTTTGGAAATTTGGAAGAGAAAGTATGGAGTACCCAGTAAAAATTCACAGAAGCATGGGGAGAATACGCAAAGGCCACATGGAGTTCGGAGCCTCGGTTGGAACCGTAAGACTCAGATCTGCGCTGCCTATTGTATACATTTTCCAAAAATTGAATTTGACACTTAAAGTCAAGCAAAAAACATCTAAGTATTCAATTCTCAATTTGTGTTAAGAAGTCATATGGGGACCTGGGGGGGTCCAGACAGTCTTGAGCAGAATTTTTTTTCCCCAAACTACACCAAAACTATTTATCAAGAAACAGAGTAGACACATTTTAATTGCTTTAATGGGCAACAACAACAGCAACAAAATTATTTGATGGGTCTTCAATTTGACAAACCTGATTTACATTCCAATGATCCTCACATGCATGTTTTAGGGCAGGAGTGTCAAACCCATTTTCGTCACGGGCCACGTTTTAGTTAGCATTTCCCTTGGAGGGCCATTATGACTGAAATCATATAAAGAAGTCAAGAATAACAGTTTATTCAACTTTTGTTTAAGTTACTGTAATGAGGTGTTTGGCAACAAGAAAATGCTTCCAATGTCTCTCTTATTTATTACATATGAAAATTTGAAATTTTGGTACATATTTTCGCAAGCATCATGGAAGTTGCCATGTTTGATTTGCTTTTGTGGGCCACATAAAATGATGTGGCGGGCCAGATCTGGCCCCCGGGCCTTGACTTTGACATCTTGTTTTAGGGGGTGAAGGAGGAAGCCTGCAGCCGACCCGGATAAAACACATCAAAATACGAGCAGAACAGGCAGCGATATATACAAGAGTGAAACCCAGAATTTTTGACTGCGAGGCAGGCGTCCGAACCACCATCTTATGCTTTCTGTCACAATGTGTGACAGCAACTATCGGGCGAGTACAACAGAGAACTTATATCGTGAAAATGTGAGACAAAGCAGCATTTAGAAGAAGTTAGAGACGGGGAACGGGAGAAATGACAAGGAAACAACGTCTGTTTCCGTGAACACCGAAGGAAAACGTGTCACCGGAGCAACAATACACATCGACGTCACGTCGCACATTCGAGTCAGTAAACATATGAGTGACATTACCTTTTCCCCCTTGATAGACGTCCGGCGGTAGTTGCCCGCACCCGCTGAAGAGGAGTTCATGTTCCCACGGTGTCTGCAAGTGAACAACCGAAGGCAACTTCTCACTGCGCGGAGCGTGCAAGCGCAGTCGGCATGCACTGGAATGGACGAGCTGGCCTCTGTCTTTCTTTCCAAGTGGTTTCAACTGAACGCTGGTAAATGCAGCAATGGGATAAGATGAAAATGCTGCCCACCTGTAGCGCTCGCTTCTTCCGATTGGTAAATCGCAACGTGCTGCAGCTCCTCTCTCTTGCTTTCTCTCTCGCGCGCTGTCTCTTTTTATAACCGCGGATGACTGGCTGCAGAAATTTCATTGAAAAGCTGGGTGGGAAAATAGTGTCTCTTGTCCCTAGGAGCTTAAAAAAACGCATGAAACATGGTGCTATGATGGCACAGGAAATAAAACACGCTGCATACAGTGAAATTTCTCAGCAAGTTGGAAATACGTGTTTATTAATGCAAGTGATAGAGGCTCGTGAAGCGAACCTATATCTTTGCACGTTGCATCCATGTTTTGCAATTTATTATCCCCACCTCCCCCATAAAGCGATGTGCCCCAAGGGGACATTTTAAAACAGCTTCACACCACTCAATGAAAACCGTGATTAACCATCACCAAAATTCATACGCCCAATTCAACCTCTGAAAATATAAAAATGATTGCCCCAATATTTGAGATTTTATGTACGTTAAGTGTTTTCCTCTCCAAAGAAAATTATTAACATTACTTGATGTCTGAAAGCTTTCATCAATAGTCTCCTAATTTCATGTAGACAACTCTATGCCAATTTCAGCCGCTACAAATATTAGAATGATCACCCTAAAATTCTGGATTTTATGTACATGAACGTCTTCCTCTTCATATGCACTCATAGCACCTTAATGCTTTATGATAAAAATGCACAAGGTCCATAAAATCCAAAATATTGTGGAGATTGTTCTATTTTATAATAATTTTAGAGGTTGAAGTGGGCATAAGTAGAGATGTCCACATAAATGATGACTAATCACAGTTTTCTGACATTAAGCTTTTTTTTTTTTTTTTGCCTACACTGACCGGTAGGTTAAACGTTTTAGATTGTCCTGATCCCAAGTCCAGACACACACACAGTGATTAGTGGCCATATTCTTGAAGTCTTTCGAGACCACGCCCCTTAACATTCTTGTGCATACCTCACTTTATGTGTACACATCCTAATCAAGTGGTAAACTGTCAGAAGAAAGAAAAGTTACCAAGTGTCTAATTTTTAATAAAAAGTATAGTCATGTGAGGTAATGGACATCTCCAGTCTTCTCCACCAACCAGATATCCATCACAGTACCAAGACTGACCTATGACAGGCACCGTTGTGCCGGTGTCTTGATTTGCTCCCTGTTCTCTGCCTCCCCACCCACTTCCTCATCTGTGCCACCTGTGCCCTGATTGTTTTGCCCTCACCTGTTTCACATCTCCAATCAAGCCCTGTATATATTCTCTTCATGTGTTTTGTCTCATTGCCAGTTCCTTGATTCCACTCATGTTGCATTCCAGTGCTTTTGTCTCATAGTCAATCCGTACCGAACAGTCTGCCTCCCCCCTGCCCACATGCTTGTAGTACCTCTGCCTGATCGTTTTGTCTTTCACATGTATCGACCTTCGCCTGGATTAAACATTATTATGCCCTCTCCGACTCTTGAGTCGTGCATTTGAGTCCAAACCACCTGTGCCTGGATCTTGACATCCGCAGGGCATCCAGACCTTGAGAAAATACAATGAAGAAAGAGCGATGGATGAAGAAGACAACTATGCGACTTTCAGGTTGCTCTTGTTCCTTTCCATGCCACGTTTAAGAAGTCCCAGACAAATTTAGTGTTGACACGCAAGGATTTGCAATTATAAATATTTAAGTTATAACATTTCTGATTGATGTCTCCAACTGTTGAGGAAGTAAAATTCACTTTCGTTCGATCAAAAGAGGGAGAAATGCCTAAATGTTGCATTATGTTTCGCGTGTGTGTGTGTGTGTGTGTGTGTGTGTGTGTGTGTGTGTGTGTGTGTGTGTGTGTAAACAGTTTCAATGGTTCTCTGGTGCACAATAAGGACATGCAATCGCAAATATTTAACAGGTTCAACTTCAACATGTCTGATTGTCAGACCTGATTTGTTTTGATTCCCCCCCAAGCAGATTGCGAAGGGAAAGTCACCTTTAAGACGCCCCACACCACATGATAATCGCACATCCAATAATTAAGCCTTTGCTTCTTTGATCGCAATGCTCAAATTTGGGCTGATTGGCGCTATGTGTGCACCCAGCTTTGCTGTAGTTTTGTATCTCAATCTTTACGGCGATCAAGGGTGAAACTGTCACCTCGCTGGCTCCGCAGTGGCCCATATTCTTTATGGCCATAATGAGGAGGGGGCGCACACACACACACACACACACACACACACACACTGACAGTAAACTGTGGATGCAGTAGCGGAACCACAGGGAGCAAAGAAACCAAGCATAGAAAATGCTAATGATGGGAGAGGAGGTACTTTTTGTATTACTTCTGTTGCTAATTAGAGAGGGGAAATGGGACGTTTTCATCTGCTAAAAATATTGCCATTGTGACCATTTAAAGAGCACTGCCATAATGGCATATGTGTTCCGTTGATTAAAGTCCAACCATGAGAAAATCTGTCGTCTGTGGAGAAATGGGGAAAAAAAAACAAGACACCCGATGTTTGTTTGGGTTTTCTGCAGGTTCTACGGCATCCTCCCACAGTCCAAAAACATACATGTTGGATTCTTTGAAGACTCTAAATGAGGGGTGCCCAAGCCCGGTCCTGGACAGCCCCTTTCAGCCTGCTTTCGATGTCTCGCTCCTCCAACACACCTGATACATCCATCCATCCATCCATTTTACGATCCGCCTCATCCTCACAAGGGTCGCGGCGGGGGGTGCTGGAGCCTATCAGACAGTAGGCGGGGAACATGCAAACTCCACACAGCGAGGCCGGAGCTGGAATTGAACCCGGTACCTCTGCACTCTGAGGTCGACGTACTAACCACTGGACCACCGGGCCGCCCCACACCTGATACAAATGATCAGAAATGTTATCAGGCTTCGGCAAATTTTACTGATGAGCAAAGCAAGCACTATAAAGCAACGCAGTTCACACTCCGCCCACTCGATGCAGATTGTAAAGATGAAGAAGTACACATTGTTTTGTGTACTGGACTGAGCCGGCAACCAAACATTCGTTTACGTTGCAATACAAATGCAATTCTTTGTGCATTCGGTGGTGCAAAACAATATACGGGAGATTATAAAGTACAGTTTTGTGTGTGGCACAACACAGAGGAGTATGAAAGCATTCTGCCTTTTCAGATGCCACCACCAGCACCATGGACAGCAGCCAAGCTCGCTGCCGGTGTCCACGGAAAAGCGAGCAGAAGGCTTTACAGCCACATGAGGCCAATTACGCTTGTTCGATTATGGTCGGAAGGCTCAAGTTGAGGAAATGTTTAAGACCGCAGAAGTTAGTGCAGACTGCGAACCTGAGCCAAGGAAGCTGGCCAGATGAGACCGTGTCGGGGCCGATGAACGAATGAGTCCTGAGGGGTGTTTGATGAAGTGACTCCCTCGTATCTCACAGCCTGAGTCTGTCTGCTTTCATGAAACCGAACCGATTTACACTGCCGGTCAAAATATCCGATTCTGATTCAATGCCGACATATGCAAGTGATCATTTTGACTGTCTGTGTTCATGCGTCCGTGTATTTTAAGTGACGCATATCCAATTTGGCTGACATGAAACAATTCGCATCCGCAAAACTCCACAATGCTCAACGCAGGAATAAACAATAATACAAATGTGAGCTGTTACATAACCCGGACTGGCGCTGATTTAAATGAGGGTAACCGTCACATGACTCCACAGGCAGCTGTCGGGAATTCTTTTGTTTCCCGTGCTGAATGATGGAGACACTTCTTGCATCATATTTAATTGTCTATGCTTTCACTGTAGTGTAATTTTGTCGCAGTTAATTAGCACATCTGTCACACAATTTTGAATTTCCAGTTCTAATTCTATTTCAGATATTGCGTTGTTTGCGTGCTCGTGTGTTTTACTCGATGCTCAGGCTTCGTCCCGCATTCCTGATACACGCATGTTGGGGTTAGTGAAGAATCGAGATTGTTCAAAGGTGTCAATGTGCCCTTGGATTTGCTGGTGACCCCACCTCTTACCCAAAGTCAGCTGTGACTCCAGCGCACTCATGTCCCGAATGAGGACAAGCATATATAGTATATCCAGGCTACGCTTTGACGCTGCATTCACTCACAATTGGCAGACGTAAATTGTTCTCATTTTCCTCCATATTT